CCGCAGCCTGTGCACCCCAGTGCTGGCAGGAGCCCTCCTCCTGCCCGGCACAGCCCTGCTGTGGCCGCATCGTGAGCTCAGGCTGCATAGAGCCTCCCCGGCTGCCCAAATAACACCTCGGTGCCCACTCTGCGACTCCCCCTGGGGAGCCGCCGCTGGGCACAGAGGAAGAAACCTGCTCACACGCAGGGTAAAATCCAGTCTCTCTCAGCCAGTGCTTTCGACCCAGCAGGGACGCGCCGGGCTTTTCTGTCACCTCTAACCTAGCATTTCCGCCACTGGCACCTCCACATGAGAGCCAAGTGGCAAAGGCACAGCAGACTTCCTAACCGGATAAATGTGTTAAACAGAGCCAGGCGTCCGTCCTGTTACTGACACCACCACAACCCCCTGTGTGCCAGGGGGGAAGCACACAGGTCTGAGGTCGGCCTCGTGCCAGCGGCACAGCTCCAGCTCTGCCGCCACACGGGCTGCATGCGCGCGCACGCACACACACACACGCACGCACATGCATGTACCCACAGCAAAACTGCCTCACCCAAGGTGTGCACCACCGCAGCGAGTCACGGTGGTCACCGCGGCACGGCTCACTGCCACCCTCACCAACTGCACACAGCCCCTCCGGAAGATGGCTGAGTGGGCTAGGGACACACAGCGGTGACAGGGGGTTCTGGCCACCACTCACTGGCCACCAGTGCCCTGTGCATCCCCTAGTTTTGTTTTCCACACCACAACCTGCTGAAATCCGGAGCATGGCCATACATCGGCCCCTACGCCCAGGAAGTCCCGTGGCAGCGTTGTCATCGTTAAGTGCTTACAGAACTTAATGAGCCCCTTCTGGAGGGCGGGAGCGGGCAGGAGGTGTGGCACGGCGGCGGTGGGAACCAGTAGATCATGTCTGGAAGAAACACATCTTGTGACACCCCAGCTGACCTCAGTCGCCCACGGGAAGCACAGGGATAGCCTTCCCAACCGTACAGCACCGCGCGTCCCCCCAGTGTGACCCGCCAGGCTCCACACTCCCCCAAGTGTGTTTCGCCCCTGGCTGAGGCTTCTCCGGCATCCCTGCCACCACCGCACCGCAGGACATGGTTGCCCAGCGAGTAGCCATCATCGGGGCCGGTGCTTCTGGCCTGTGTGCCCTGAAATGCTGCCTGGATGAGGGGCTGGTACCCACCTGTTTCGAGAGGAGTGGGGACATCGGGGGGCTCTGGCGCTTTGAGGTAAGCCCCATGCTGTGCCAGCCTGCCCTGCGGCAGCAGCACAGACGGGATTGGGATCGGTCGTTGGCAGCTAACGAAGCACCACTCCCCTGCTTTGCATGCACCCAAGAAAAACCACAGGGAAAAAAAAACCTGCTGCAGCAGCCCGAGGTCCCCATGGTGCCAGCGGGTGTGCCAGCCACATGGGACACGTCTCCTTCTCACCAGCAGCAGGATGGACCCTCCCCAGGGACCTTATCCCAGGGCTCGCTCCCCCAGCTTAGCCTTCCCCCTTCCCATCCCTCCCTCATCCATCCTTTCCCCTGCTTCTTTGCTCCTGGTCCCCTCCAGCCCTTTCCTACCCATCCTTGTCCCATCTGACACTGCTGGCTGTCCGGGTCCCATCCTCCCAGCCCTTCCCTGGAAGTCCCAGTTGCTCCTCTCCCTGCTTCTGTGCTGCTCGCCCACACAGAGGCACAGAGCACTGCCTCCTCTGTGCCTCAGTTCTCCCAGCCTCGAGGGAAGCCCCGGAGCTTGTTTCTGCCCCCACCTAATGAGGCTGCTGACTTTTCCCCCAGGAACCACCACCAAGAAGACAAGTCTTCCCACCATGCCCTAATAAATGGGTGGGAGAGCCCAGGGGGGGAAACACCACACCATGTCAGCGTGAGGTTTGGGGTGGCTCAGTTACAGTCTGCTGGTTCTGCCCACGGTGGGTCAGAAACAGGGCTGGTGTAGCACAGCCAGGGCAGCAGTGCCTGGCTGCCAGGGCAGAGACCCGGCGAGCAGGAGCTGCCACTCAGCTGGAAGTGCCAGAGCTGGCTGGGCAGCTGGCAAGACCTGATGTGGCAACCAGGGCAATGGCACCTTGGGCGGCTTTGGGAACGCACCACCTCATCAGGGCCAAGGGTGGGAGCAGTGAAAATGAGAGACAAGACCCCATGAACAGCTGTCACCACTGCATGGCCCCTGCCAACCCATAGCTTCATCTTCCCTGTTTTGTGGGGTGAGCGGTCGCACCTGCAGGAGGGTGCTGGGCACAGTGATGGGTGCTACAACTGCCCATGGCTTAATCCTGCACTCACAAGCATGGTGAGGTGCCAGGCAGGGCAGGCAGGCAGCCCTGTGGTCCCTGGCCAGCACTGAGCCATGCCCCGCTCACACAGGAGTGCCCCGAGGAGGGCCGTGCCAGCATCTACCGCTCCGTCATCATCAACACCTCCAAGGAGATGATGTGCTTCAGTGACTTCCCCATCCCCGAGGACTTCCCCAACTACATGCACAACTCCAAGATCATGGAGTACTTCCGCATGTACGCCCGCCACTTCGACCTGCTCCGCCACATCCGCTTCAGGGTGAGAGCTGGGGTGACCGGGGGGCGGTGGCAGTGGGGCTGGAGGGTGCAGGGTGCTTGACACCCGCTCCCCCCACCCAGACCAGCGTGTGCCGTGTGGCCAAGCGCCCCGACTTTGCCGCCACGGGCCAGTGGGAGGGCGTGACGGAGAGCGAGGGGAAGCAGGAGGCGGCCGTCTTCGATGCTGTGCTGGTGTGCACCGGGCACCACACTGAGGCACACCTCCCGCTGAGCACCTTCCCAGGTACCACCCCGCGGGCTGCTCGCCTGGTCCCTGACACCCCTGGGACTACCCACCTCTCCGGCTTAGCCCCCATCCCACTCTGCCTGCTTCCAAAAATGCCTCCATGGGTTAACATACCAGGTGGGATTGCATGACCATGCTGCTATCCCACCCGTCTTGGTGGTCTGTCCTTGGTGGCTCTTGCCATGCTGTCAGCGCCTGGCCAAAGTGCCCTGCTGGCAGCTGCCACTGCTGCCAGCTCACCTCTCCCACCAGATACAGGCTCCCCGAGCTGCTGGCTTCCCAGCAAGGCTTGAGAGCTTGGTGCTGGTGGTGGCCTTCTCCTCTGGGTGCCATGCAAAAATGCCTGGAGGGCTTTCAGCTGTGGAGACCTCTTTGTCTGGGGAACATGTTGGAACACACCATCACCAGGGTCTGGCGGGATGGCACAGACTCCAACTGCTTCTCTGCCCTCAATGCCTCGCACTGGGCAGGAACTGCAGGGGGATTTTGGGGTGGGAACATGGACGTCTCCAGTCCAAGCACTGCTCCTAGCCAGGTCAGCCCCAAAGCCAGAGCAGAATGCTCAGGGCCACACTGAGCATCTCCCAGGCTGGAGACGCCACCATCCAGGGCACCATCCCAGGGCTGCATTGCTTTCATTGGTCACACTGGTCCCAGCCTGTTCCCAGAACACACCACCAGTCTGAGCAGGGGGGCAGCCTCCCCTTGCCCCACATTCATGCCCAGTGTGGCTTTCCTCTCTCTTCCAGGGCTGGAAAAGTTTGAGGGCTGGTACCTGCACAGCCGGGACTACAAGAGCCCACAGTCCTTTTCAGGGAAGCGGGTGGTCGTGGTCGGCACCGGGAATTCAGGCATCGACATTGCGGTGGAGCTGAGCCACGCAGCCAAGCAGGTGCGCTGGGAGAGCCCGTGGGGCCGGGGTGCTTATTATTTGGACCCCAGAGAGCACCAAACAACCCACTGCCATCCTGTGGGCTCCCCTCCCTCCAGCACCCAGCCATGAGCACCCCATCCCATCTTGAAGGGGGTGGCTGTTGTGGTCCCAGCAGCTGTCCGACGAGCATGGCAGGGGCTCAGCACAGTCACGAGGATGCTGCCACGCCACCACCTCCCCTCTCCTTCCTCACAGGTCTTCCTCAGCACCAAGCGTGGGACCTGGGTGATGCACCGGGTTGCGGATGGTGGGTACCCCTTTGACTTCACCTACATCAGCCGCTTCATACAGCTCCTCCACAGCCTGCTACCCCACAACACCAGCAGCTTTTTCATGGAGAGGAAGCTGAACGCCCGCTTCAACCATGCGCTCTACGGCCTCCAGCCCCAGCACCGGTGAGCGCTCTGGCAGCACCCTGGGGACCTGCCCCAGCACTGCCTGTCCCACTGCCGGGGCCCCCACAAGGTCTGTCTGTGCTTTCCAGGATCTTTGACCAGCACCCGACTGTCAACGATGACCTGCCCAACCGCATCATTTCGGGCAG